TATATATATATATATATATATATATATATATATATATAAAAAACATGGCCTTCTAAACCCTTGTTTAGAATCCAGAAGTTCACATGAGGACTAAGCACATGGAATACAAAGAAAAGAATGTGGGACATGCCAAAGCAAATGATTTCATTAATGTTAGGATGACAAATTAAAGGTGAGTTGTCTCCATGTGGGCTTCACCAATGTAGTCTCCAGAGAATGCCTGTCCAGAGCCTGGTCTCAGGACAATGCCTGAAAAGCTCTACCTCACCCCATGGGTGCCTGACAGTGCCAGTTTGCATACTGGTGTTTAAACTGAACACATGACTAAATGTTCAAACAAATGATTACAGTGGCCTTTCAAACCTACTCTAAGATTGAGTCATCTTTTCCTATAATGACTTTGCCCTAGCCCCACACTAGAGCTCTAATCTGGCCTTGAAGGCCCTCTGGCTTAGACAAAGCCAAAAGAGAAGAAATGAAATCCTGACATAAGATGAACAGATGCTTTTGTCAATGGAGATCAGTCTCCAGCTTATTCCATGAGTTGACATTATGGTCTCCAAGTTCAGGCTTCCAGTCCTCCACTCTGCTGGAACTTTCTTAGGTCTTACCAGAGCTTTGTGCATACTTTGGAAAACAATAGCTGAGCATTTGCATTTAGCAGCACAACAACTGAGCTCCTAAAATTCCCTGGCATGAAGGATAACCTACAGGGTTGCTCTACTCAGGGAACATTTGGTGATCCACTGACTTGTTTGGCAACCATTTAAGGACAAAGTTGTAATCTTATCTCAGAAAATTCCTTGCAGGCTGTAGTCTTGGGTGTGTTGACATTATTTTTGAAGTGTTTGGTATGGGTCAACTCCTGTCCTCAGGGTCTGGGTGATAAACATCTCCAAGAGCACTGGTAGTAGGAGCAGGGCCTCTGCTATCTTTTGCTGATAAGCAGCAGACACACATCATTCACCAGGCCCCTGGGATATACCAGAAAGTATAGGGACAACAGAACTAGAGGTCCAGCCACGTTAACTGTGCCTTGTGTAACCAGGCAAGACAGGAGACAGTCCAAGATTCCTCTTCCATGGCACACAGCCTGTCTTTGAGATTTGCAAATGCAAATTTGGAATAACTATTCCTTTTCCTCTGCTGTCATCTGGTTCTGCTTTTGTACTTTCTGTATAAACTAATGGCAAAAGTACAACAGAAGAAAATTAAAAATCAAGAGTATTCCCAATATTCTTACTTCAAGTTTATTCTAGGTAAACAACCGGAGCCCACCCAACCATGTCTAAGAAAGGGAATCTAAGAGTTGGAAGCAATTTATGAATCATCGTCTTGTTGGTGTCCTGTCTTGAGACAGGACTATTTCCAAGTCACTTTAAATGCATAGTTATGAAAGAACTTGACATCATTTAGACCAGAAATATCTACCTAGTTAATTGTTTCTTCAGAAAAAGATTGGCATATTGTGATTGTGTCATTTTTTGGAAGATGACTGCCATTAGCTGTTTTGAGAATGTTTTAGTGTTCGTCCCAATAGAAAAGTTTGGTGACCAATTTGCAACAACTATAATAACACTGTTCTCTCATTGAATCATCCCCAGTCAAGGTAGGTACTAATTATTATGATTCCCATCTTAGGAAACTGGAAAGGAGAGTGTTTCAGGAACTGAGGCCCACTGTAGCATGGAGCAGGGGCAAAATTGAAACTCAAGACTGATTCCACTGCATATCCATTTAATCTTATTTCTATATCTATGTTCATTCTTTATATTCCTTTAACCTCTACAATTATTATAAAAAGGAGCACCCAATTGCTAGTCTATCCAGTGTCTCAAATATGAATTTATATGTAAATTATAAAATTTCAATGTTGAAAAGAGCCTGAATTTATCTAATTGTACAGATGAGAAAATGAAGGTTAACATATGGGAAAGTCACTATTACAAATTAGTAACAAAACTAGGACCCAAAATCCAGGCATCTGATCCAGAGTTCTGGATCAATGTCCTGTCTTTAGCCAAAGGCTTAGAAACTGAATTTAAGACTGATAACTGGTTTTAAGTGTGACAAATATATCCCTAGATATTGCAAGTAAT